CAGCTGACCCTAGGTTCATACAGGCTCATAGCGTATAATGAAGTGGTTGTCTACCCATCTCGCTCTGACATACGTGTACACTAACGCTCTTTCACTTGCATTGCCAATCTATGGGTACCTATATACTAAATCTATGCCCTCCTCTTTACTATTTAATAAACATCCGATGATTTCGCTTAAAAATACATACTCGTTTTTTTTTACATATCAAAATCAATCCTCTTATTGGAAGACCCTTTATTAATTCGAATTCTAAATTTGTTAACATTACTATTTAACATAAGGATTTGTTGTTTAATCTATGGATAAATACATATCTCAGCAATGTCAATGAACCAAATAAAATTAAACATTGTTGTAACTGATAGCTGAGTAACAATTTATTTATAATAAAATAAAAAAATGCAAGGTATACACACGTATAACTTGATGTGCTGTTGACTATACGTAATACGTACTTATACGGTTTAGGACTTTGAAGGAAGGGAGCATAATGCATTGGTGTCAAGTGGCATTTTAGCACTATACTGTTATTTTGATTGGCACAAATTGCCCTACAATGACCGGTGCGATCGCCTGCATATCTATGAAGTGTGTTATTACAGTCCTTCATTTGACTACTTTGTCATTTATGTGTGCCTTTTTTATATTATCTAATTCCTATTACCCGCTTGCATATTTATCTTCATAAATACATTCGAAGGATGATAAAGGATAAAAAGTGACATTTAATCCGTTTTTAATATCAATCAGTATTATATTCACTTGAATTGAAATTGAAAAAACCCGATACATAACAACAAGCTCTAAAAGGTCAAAAGCGAAAATAGTTGATTTTCTTGAAACCACTAGCCATTGCAATTCTATTGAGACTTCTCTCTGAGCTTCGAGAATATAACCATACATAAAGACGAAATAAGGACCATCCATCCCCGGCAACTCATCAGGTAAATGGGCCTCATATCACTTTTAAATATCAACTCTCGTTTGCGCGGAAATCACAAATTAGAAAACTCAAATAGTATAGCGCCAACAACTAAACTGTGTGTACATCTCCGTATATTCCAAAAGTATTATGTATTTATTATGATAATTATAATAATATCTCTAACAATGGGGGCTGTTCCATTCGGTGGTGTGGGAAAAGCAGGAAAACATCTAATTACATGAAAATCGGTTCACAAATACCGGAGTTATCGGGTAACATACATACTATATACCCTCCTCCATTTTTTGAAGTCGGTTAAAAACAAACGGAATCACATTTCATCGGTAATTAAATATCTAATTTTGCAATTTTGCATCCATTATAGCAAAGCTCAAGTTAAATTGGCCGATTTGAGGTGAAACAATTGACGATGCCCGTCAATTGTTTCGAATTCGGGCTGGCCAATCGAAACGCAGCTGTCACGGTAATGATTTGGCAGAATAGTTTTCAAAGAAATTAAATGACTTTTCGTCTCTATTTCTGGTTATATACTCGATGCCACTGAGATATGATAATATTTGTTATTCTGCTAGAATCTAGTTGCAATGGCAGTTAGTCTCAATAGAGTGCCAGTCGAATGGCAGTGATGGCATTCATTCAGTCACTAACGATCGTAGTCGCCTTACTCAAACTACCACGGAAATTACTATGCATATTGTCAGGAATAGTGCAAATACGCGTAACTAGCATTGGATTATGAGATTCCGTTTCGGTAATTTAGTGACCAAATCAAATCCGCGTAAATGTCGTAGCAACGAA